AGGCAGTCGTCCCTGTCTCTCCTCCATGCCCTCTTTTATAGTCCTCATCACTTTGCTTTGTCTTGTTACCTGTGCTCAGGCTTGCTGTCCCTCTTCAACTCTAGTTAAAAGACCTGGAATGTCTTATACACATTGGCTACATTGGCATCTCCAGTCGCCCAGCATAGTGCCTGTTACACAGTTGGTATTTATCAAATATTTGGGGGAGGGGAAAAAAAGGAATGATGATCTGGGTGGGGGGTGAGGAAGGACACATTTACAGTTGTCCTTGCCAGGAATGTTGGTAATTTTTAGGAAGACACAAGAATAATCTCTAGGTGTGTGTAGGTGCATGGGCATGTTCAAATATGAGGATAATCTTTGGGCAGGAGACTCTTGGAGGCCTTTGAATTTACACCAGATAGGTAAGAAGGAAGTACCCAGAAGTCACTTAAAATTAAGTCAGCAAAAAAGATGTTGGAAAAGACTGGAAATGGAAGGTAAAGACTGGAAATGGAAGGTAAAGACTGTCTTATCAGTTCACAGACAACTGATCTCTATAGAGGAGGAGGGAGGTCAGAGATCAAGCAAGGGTGACTGGTTTGGCTAGCTTAAAAGGTGAGGTGAGCATTTGTATTAGCTCAGGCTGCCATGACAAAATACCACAGACTGTGAGGCATAAACAACATAAACTTACTTTCTCACAGTTCTGGAGGCTGGAAAGGCTAAGATCAAGGTCCAGCAGGATCACTTTCTGGTGAGGGCTCTCTTCCTGGCTTGCAGATGCCTGCCTTTTTGCTGTGTCCTCAGGGGAGAGGGGAGAGGGGAGGGGGAAAGGGGAGAAGGAATAGAGAGGAGGGGACAGAGAGTGAGCTCTCTGGTGTCTCTTTTTATAAGAGCACTACTCCTATTGGATCAGGGCCCTACCCTTATAACCACATTTAACTTGAATTACTTCTGTAAAGGCCCTGTCTCTAAATATAGTCACACTGGGGGTTAGGGCTTCAGCACAAGATTTTGGAGGGAACACATCAGTTCATAACAGCATCTTTGTATAAAGAGACTCAGCAGCACTTTTGGAAAAAGCTTGCGCAGCAAAGAATGTGCTGAAGAGATACATTTTGATGTTTTAAGTCAACATTTTCACTTCTTTCCCCTATACTATATTCTCTTATTTGGATAAAATAAACAAACTTTCCTATTGGGTTTGTCTATTGCTTGTCCAAACTGGCTTCCTACTGCCTAATAGATACGATGATGCTACACAAGCCTTTAAAACACCTACCTCTAGGCAGCCAAAAGAAAGATGGCTTCTACAGAAGATTGAAAGGTAGGACTAACTTTGCTTAATTTTTCACTCAAACGCAATTTGAATTGTTTGTTTGTCCCCTTGGGGTGATATTTTATTATGCCTTTGCAGCCAAAAGTATAAGAAATGAACGTATTTTAAGAAAGTGATGCCTATTTCTAGCATTTTCATTATTCATAGAACAAAATTACGTTCATCCCCATCCATATACAAATACGGCATATTATATGATCCAGGCATTCTATGCAAGCGTGCAAAAGTGATGCTAACGACTTGCCACATTAAGCATCTGCTCTGTGTTGGGCATCATGCCAGGTGCTGGGAGTACAGAGAATCAAACCCAGGCCCTATCCACGAAGAATGTACAGTCTGCTGGGGAGATGGACACAAAATTCCCAGTTGTTCTCCCAGGGATGGTAAAGGGTTTTTCCAGTCACCACTTTCTCTTACGCAGATGGCTGGTGAGAAAGGGAGCTGAGGTCAAAGAACAGTTTTCCAAGAGAAGATCTACCCTACAAGTAGCACACTATTAAACACACAATCCACGCCAACCAGTGAAGCAGCCAACCTGGACATGTGCAGTCACTATTTTAAATAGAAATGAAAGTTTTGTGTCATTTAAACATTGTTCAATTCACTCCATGATGCCTTTGAATATTGGAGTAACCATAGAAGGTGCCACAGGTAAATAAGAGAAGGGCTGGCTAGCTGCAGCAGAATGCTCTTATAAAAGGAGAAACTAATGACCCAAACCCATCCACAAAATGCTGCCTATTTGTTTTCTCCTAAAAGTCATTCTGATTTTCATTAAAAAAAAAAAAAAAGATATTTCCCCTAAAGATGTTTTAAAAACTGTAATTTTACATCTGAGGTATTTGCAAGCCTTGCTTTTGTAGTTTTGTGACATCATAAGCATCCTGAACAAAATAACATATTGCAACTCACAGGGAGACTCTGTATTAATATCTCTGCAGGACAAGTATAATCATAAAAGCTTTTAGGCACACAGATAAAATTTTAACACCAAAACTTATTACAAGAGTTTTTTACACTTAAAAAAGCCACACAAGCAAAGTCAATTAAATTTTATTTCAACCAAGAATATAAAATAAATGCAATGTAATTTATTTTAGTTTTAACAGTCATTTCAAGAAGGATATCAGAACAACTCAAAAGCAGGAAACACCCGCTGCAAGGCGGCAGCTCGTCCTGCACCCCACAGGGCTTGCAGGGGCGCAGCCAGCTCCGAGCACACACCTCGCAGCGGAGCGTGGAAAGCTACAGTCATCTCTATAACCATATAAAGAGGGATGCGTGCAGAAAACGACTGAAAAAAGAGACAAGAACTGGTACACTTCACAAATAGGAATTATAGGAAATACAAACTAGGCAGTTTAGAAAGGATATACTACATAACATATATAAAAAGTACTTTAAATTGTTGTTAAAAAGGACACCTTCAGTCCAGATTTTGTGTAATACTTTTAGTGTCTACACAGACAAATCTTTAAAAAATTAAATAGTATTAATTTACTAAATATTTAGGAGATAACAGTGCATTAAGGATTTTTTTCATATAATACATACATATCACTCCTTTGCAGTGATAGCATAGAAGAGTAAGTATGGCCTTAGGTACAACACATTTTTTAAAAATCCTAAAACAACTTTGTTTTATGGTATTTGTGACTATTCTTGAGGATTATGGGGACCTAAACTGCTATGTCTTATATAAAATATTACTTGTCCTTGAATCCTTCAAGTGTCCGTTAGTCTAACTGCCATTTTACTACCTTTCTCCACTTCCTAGGAAGACATCACCAGAGTTTTGGATTTGCAATATTCATAGAATTCTTCCTTCATCGTATAGTTTCTGCTACATAAATTTTTTCAAAAGTAGATCAAGCTGCAAGTCTTATTCTCCAACTATTTTTTCTTTTCTTTTACTTTTAGCAGGGAAAACAGCATCATTTAGAGACATAGAGAACCACCAGCAATTGCTTCACCAAAAATGAGGCCAAACACACAGGTAAATGTCATCCCTTTCCATTCTTAATACGTTTATAAAAGAGTAGTGCAGAAAGCCAAAATTCTAACTATAGTTTCAAAACCACACAGATATAAAAATATACATGATCCTTGGTTTTTGTATGTCATTGCATGATCTACTTCATCACAAGGACTGTTTCAGCCTCATAGTATCAGCCTCATAGTATCAGCCCTGCACCAAGCTATCTTATCTTGGGCTCATCTGTCCTGAAGCTCTTGAATCCCTTCTCCCAAATGCACACCTTACCAGAAAGCTAGCTCTAAAACTCGTTCGTAATAATGGACAGCGGAAAACCTTCACTTTGACTCATGCCTTCCTTTCAGTAACCTCCCCTGGTTTGGTGTTCCCATAGGCTGAGGGGTGACCATCCTGAATCCCTGGGGGACATAAGAGTATCTAATAAATTTCAAACAGGAATGTGGTCATTTGGGGACTACAAAGGTAATTTTGTCCTCAAAAAGCTTCAGTGGTGCAGTTTTAGGGTCCTTAAGGTGTGTTAAAGGCTTTGTTCCCCTTTCTAGAGAAAGGAAATTATGAACCAAAATTACTTCAAAGGGCAATGGGAACCAGTGGGCAACACCAACCCTGTGGCAAGAAAAGAGGAGAAAAGGGCCAGTACCAGTGTGGTGACAAGAAACCCAGTCACATGTGTGATGGGGGTTTCTGGCTAGGTACTGGAGAACACTGCCCCTCTGCCCTCACAGTTTATGTTTCAGTTCTGCCAGTAAAATTCATAATATACAGGGAAAGCAGGGTAGTCCTGTGAATGTATAAGCACATATCCTAAGAACTGTGTATCAAAGTTGCTTATTAAGTATTAAGGGGAGTGGTATTTTGGTTTACGTATCCATTTGGGTTTGTCTTCTTTTATTAATCGTAAGCTCCCTTGAGGGCGGGAGCAGAGCTTCTACTGTCATTATAATTACCTACAACCATGTAGTGGAGTGTGTTCTGCCTACAAGAGCCACCCAAGTGTTGCTGAAAGGCTGCTGTGAACACTGCAAATATACGTGGGTGCCCTTTGTGATATTTAATCACTGGCTTTCTCTAAGGTGGACAGACACAGAAATCCTTCTGTGACACCGTTTACTACAGAGCAGAATTGGAATTATAACTACCCAAGTGGGTTTAGAAATAAACTAAAGGACCTTCATATTATCACAAGGCATAGATATCCCAGGAGAGCTTACTGTCCCCAAATTGGCCATAAGCTCCTTGAGGACAGGAAGTGCAACCTGCCCTTTGTGTTTTCTACCCAGCAGGGCACTGGGCACGTGCTGAGGGTGCAGTGAGCATCTGATGACCAATAGCTCCAGACCATGAGGCTGTAGGGCACAGGACAGAACTTTATACAGGTAGCTACATTATACAGAGGCCTGTTAATTTCTTATTTTAAAAAAATGGAGGGGGTAAAATATCATGGAGATGATCAGAAATTCCTTCCAATGCAAAATGTCACCTGTTTCATCTTTAGTCTTGGTAAGTGTCACTATACAGTCTTATTATTATTAATAAGCATTATTATGCTGAGATCAGTAAGGTCCTGCCTGGCTACAGTATCACATCAATAGTGCAAAATGTATACTGGCTTTTGTCTAAAATCTTATTTTACTTGTATATGGACCCAGAGTATCATAACCAGGTAGATAAGTTCACAAAGAATAGTTTTAAAAAATGCATATAATTTGCATATACAACAATCAGCTATTTCTTCTAGCTCAAGAAAACATTTAAAACAAGGCTGGTGCTGCTAGTAGCATTCAGAAGAACACAAATTGCTTGTCCCACACATTACAATGGGAGCTCTAAGTCTTTACATTTCCTCTTGACTCTGGGGAGTGAGGGCTCCTTATAGCAGCTAAGAAAGGACTCAGCCACTAATTCATAGATAATGGAAATGCAAATATTCACTTTATCTAGTATAGTCTTATACTATCTGCCCATAGTTTTTAGGCACAATTATTAAGTTTTCTCCTAGGGGCAAAAGAAAGCATTCAGTGCAATGAAAAGATTCTTGATAGAATTAAGTTTCAGTAACAACAGCAAAATTATGCATACATACATAATACATACTTTAAACATGATAAAACCTAAATTTTCAACATGCTTTAAAAATAGTCACTCTATGTCTAATGCAAATACGAATGGAGAACACTGCTCTTTATTTTAAAAGCAGATTAATTTGCAGGCTTTTACTTGAGTACCCTTGATTGTGTAAGAAAGTTACTCACGCAGACCCAGATGTGAAGAAATCAACAGTTCTTTAGCAAAGCCAACTTTATGTACAATGAACACTAAAAGCTTTTCCTTCAAAGGGAAGTAACATGTCCTTTGATCAAAATTACTCCTTAAAGAAATCCTAGTGCAGTTGATATTCTCTTCAGCATTTTGGTGTGGGTCACCAGAGAGTCTATTTCATCAAAGCTCTTGAAATCCTTTTTAAGGTAGACTTAGCTACATGAAGGTTAAAATTATAATTCTTAATTACTGAATACTATTCAGAATAAGATGATTCTGGGAACTATGTTCCATATGAATGATTATATAAAAATTATCACATACTTCAGTTCTTCATAGCATAAAGCATAGTCACTGCACACTGCAAAGATCCAGGCTGTTTTTGGTTGTAGGTTCCCTCTGCCCCACCACTTGTCTTTTTATTAGACCTTCCCTGAAACTAGATAAATAGAAACATGATAGTAAAGTACTTTGGGACAGTAACAGTTTCTGTTTAAGACTTCCATGAGCAAAACAGTTATAGTCTGTGAAAACAACGTAGTGCTTTTAAAAGGTGCATTTTCACCTGTGTTGCTAAATCAGTTCATGAAGTATAAAACTATACACCACTGGAATCCTGTTTCTAAAACATTAAAATCCTATTAAAAGAGCTTCGAAAAGATAAATCATAGTGATTGCTACAGCATGAGAAAGGTGCACCAGGAAATCCTTCAAAAAAAATGCTGAAGGTTATAGAAGTGCTGGGATTAGATCAGACGCTTTATCAGAGAAGTCACAATGGAACACATGCGGGGAAGGGTTGCTGGGAAACTTCACAAGGATCTTCTTTAAGTCAATAAAGAAGAGATATTAGTCCTGCAAAATGCTCAATATAGAAAGTTTTCCTCCCAAGTGTACGAGTTTTAAATGGCATCATAGTTTGCATTTTTTTGGTTCTTTTCAATGCAGACATCATATTGCTGGAGTCTGTGCTCTGGGCTGGCCTGGGCCGAGTGGAGCCGGTCAGTACCGATGGGCCTGGTGAGATGAGTGGTACTGTGAGCTCTGCTGAGACGAGGAGGAGTAGCCTAGTGTGCTCTGGGACTGAGAGGATCCCTGAACGCTGCTTTGGTAATTCAGGCGAGAGCTGGAGTGCTAGAGGAGGAAAAACGAAAAGGGAATTACTGATAGAAGAAGAGAGGCTCAAGATGTTAATCACAGGAGGACAAAGGTATTAATACAAGCCATTTTTATCATGAGGCTACTGGTTCAGAGTCACACAGCTGACAGTTAACTTGTTAATACATTTTGCTTACTGAAATCATAGCCTAATACCACTGTAACCACACGTTCTGGCAGGCGCAAAGTTTGGCTAGGTTTCTCTGGGAGATAAGCTACAGTGGCAAACGAAGGCAGAGGAGAAACTTAAGCTGACCCACCACTTTTTATACGGACAAATTCTGGGGTGCAATTTAACCCTTTGCATAACTGAGATTTACAAACAAGAATAACCATTTTGGCACATTGAAATCAATGGTATTCATAATGTATACTGACGTGTTAATCCTCTCATTAGAAACAACAAAGCTGTGATTAAGAAATCATTATTTTAGAGCAAAGCAGCAGAAGCTCAGGGATTCAGCAGCCCCACCTGCAAGACAGAGCAAGGCAAGGTGGGGCAGGCTGTGGTAGCAATAATTGGGTTTTATAAACTCCAGGTAATATTTAGAATAAAGCAATTTTCATATGTGATTGTCCTCAAGAGAAGAAAAAGAAAAATGTATTTCAATTCAACCTATCGTTATTACTTTAAATGAAACCTTCATCTTCATAGTACCTAAGGCAAATATGAAAAAATGTGTAAAAGGAAAATCCATCCACAGAAAAAGAAAGGTACCTGGTTAAACATAGCCCAGCTGGAACTAGCAGTGTCTTTGGCTGTATTCAGAAGGCTGGGGGGTTTTTTGGTGAGCAAAGTGGGAATGTATGTAGTAAAGCTATTACTTTGAGTTAAAAATGCAAATGACCTTGAGGTGGCACTGGGGGTTGAAGGAAAGAGAAATCAGCAAGGTCCGCCCCTCCAGTGCTCACAGGTTGCCAAACTGGACTGCAACATCTGGTCCAAAACAACAGGGCAGTAAGACAGTCTTGGTTAAAAACAACTCTGCTTCACGCCTTCCTAAGTTATGTAACTGACGAGTTGTGTTGGTGAAAGAAGACTTTCAAAATTTCAAATTTTAACTACATGTTTTATTTTGAAGTTTCTTATGAAAAAATGTGCTTTCCACTCATAAGTCATTAGTGGCAATTTTGCCATAAAATACAATGTAAACATGTAAGAATCTAACGTGTAACATATCTTTCTAAAAAGCCAATTTCCTTCTTTTCAAGGTACTAATTGTGCTTGCTTACAATAAATACATTGATGAAGCACCCCAAAAGCCTTGAAACCCTACTAATGGAACCCACTGGAAAACATGACAGAAGATGCCTTATTTTTAGTTGAGTTTGAGTTAAGTCTGGCCTTGAATAAATTGAGATAAAAGTAACTCAGGGAAAATCAAATACAACAAAATATCACATTAGTCTTTCTTAGACATTATGAAATATGGCTATTAATTTTTCATTTTAAAAGTGTTCATGATGGAAACTGAAATAAATATAAAGATGTCTTATTCCAGAGAGGGCCTCAAACTGGAAAAGGTAAGGAAAAAAGAAGAAAATGTTAATAAGACCAATGCCCTACAATTGTTAGGCTAGCTATGATTGCTTTTACTTTAGCAGATTAGACTCAGCCGGTACAACAGCTCTTCCATACTAAATCAAGGATAAATATGTTGGCCGGGCGCGGTGGCTTACACATATAATCCCAGCACTCTGGGAGGCAGAGGCTGGAGGATCACTGGAGCTCAGAAGTTCGAGACCAGCCTGAGCAAGAGTGACACCCCATCTCTACTAAAAAAACAGAAAGAAATTAGCTGGACAACTAAAAATATACATAGAAAAAATTAGCCGGGCCTGGTGGCTCATGCTTGCAGTCCTAGCTACTTGGGAGGCTGAGGCAGGAGGATTGCTTGAGCCCAGGAGTTTGAGGTTGCTATGAGCTAGGCTGACGCCATGGCACTCTAACTCAGGCAAGAGAGTGAGACTCTGTCTCAAAAAAAAAAAAAAAAAAAGAACAAATATGCTGATTACAGATGAGCTACAAATTACACACAATGGGACTCCCTGCTCCACCTCATGCTAGTCCCTCCAACTAAATAGCTGAGGTATCCATCCATCTGTGTCATAGATATGCTAGAAGGGTTATTTTTAGTAGCCAGAACAATATGGACAAAGAAAAGAAAAGCATTTTGAAGAATTTTTGAATTTGGAAAAAAAAACAGAAGGAAATACAGAAATCTGTCTATATTTGACTATAAGCAGGTGATAAAGACTCTCTCCTTAGACCAAAACTGGATCTCCTCTGAGTCCTCTGATTGACTAGGCCCGACCTTGGACTTCCCTCTCTGTCCTTGTAGAATCTTATTAGCAAAAATCTCCCACCCTTGATAGTTTATTACCCTGGCCAGCCTTCAACAACAATCCCATCAAGTCAGTTTCACCAAGAACCACTTTATCCTTGATGTCTTCTCTCGGTTATTTGCCATCCACTGACCTCTACACCCTGCTCCTTGCTTATATATCTCCACTTGGTCTCCTTGGAGTTGAGTCCAATCTCCACCCCACTGCAAGACCACGTTGCACTGGTCTCCAAACTTATCATCATGACCTCCCTGGAATAAAGTCTGACTTACCAACTTTAACAAGTGTTTAGATAATTTTCTTCTTTAACACAGGTTAATATAATACAATCAGAGACACAAAAATGGACCATTATATATTAATAATGAACATTTGTTGCTCATATAACAGAGATAAACTAAAGTTTGCGGAAAAACTGGTTTTGGGACAAAATTCAAATATGCTCATGACTGCTACCCAAATAGCAAGCTGTTTTTAGTAGATCAAACTGAAGCCTTGATTAGTTTAATTGGAACCAACTGAAAGTATTATATACTCTTCTGCTTGCAGGGAATCTTCATGAAGAGAAGTTTTCAGAGAAGTAGTGGTTGAGATATTCAAAATGTAAAGCCAGTTTAAGCAGCTATTTATTATGTTTTTCTTGTTAACTTTTCTCTTTATTCCAGTTCCTTATCAGTGAGTTTATGGCTCCCTTGCCCTGTTTTCTATTATCTCTATCCTAAGTGTCTGCTTCCATGAGTTCCCTGAGGGACCATGGCTCTAAACCTTTTTTTTTTTTTAATCTTTCATTTAAGTTTTCCCAGCTTCCTAGGTCTTTTCTTAGCTTGTTACTACCTTGAAAATAGTTTTTCTTTTTGCAAGATTCCCTGCGGTTATCACAATGAGAATCTTTACCTCTCTCTCCAAGTACCAACCCTTAGACTTATTTCCTTTAATTTCCTGGATTAGTAGCACAACTGTACTTCTCTTTTTATCTAAATAACAAAAAGTATTGCCTAGTCTCAAAATTATTTCTAGTGAGACTTGACAGTTATTTCTCAGAAGTCTCAGTCTTAATCCTTCTCTCTTCTATATCTATGTGGCTACTTACTGATTCTTTCCTCCCAGTAAGAACAAATCTTTCTGAAGAATGCAATTAATTTTGTCCAAAATAAGCCACCAGGCCTTCCCCTTTCAAGGGAACTATCTTTTCTGATAAACCAAAGCTGATAAGGCAGCTGTTAGGTGAAAGATGGAATTTTCCTTAAGAAGGAGGTGCCTGCCTCCCCACCTTCCCCTTCACTTGTGAGGATAAACAGGTCAAGATATGAAAGATCTTACAATTATATAAAATATGATAAAAATCTCCATTTTCACACAATGCCCTAGAAATGGGACTGTACAGTTTGTATAGTCAAATGTTAAAGTATTACTTAACTTTATAAGGCTCTGTTATAGATCTATTTCCCATTTCGTAAAACACATAAACATCAAAAAGTACAAACTTCAGAGGAGTACCTGATAATCCGAGGGCATGACGGGCCCGCCTGAGTTTGCGCCTGAAGGCCCCAGCCGCGGTTTCTTGCTGGGAGGCACCTGGCTCAGGCCGGAGTCCTGGCTGTGCTGCAGCCCTGCTCCCGCGCCTCCGACCCCGGCCCCGGCCCCGCCCGCGGTCCCGTTGGTCTGGGTGCTGTTCTGCTGTGGCGGGGGTGCCTGTGGGGGGGCTGCGGCTTGCTGTGGAGGGGCTGTGGGCTGCTGATGCTGGTTCTGCTGCTGTTGCTGATTCTTTTAAGGAAAAAAAAAACAAGTTTGATATGAAACTAAATTAAGAAAAACTGGACATGCACCTGTGACTGCTGACCAACCTGGGGGAACAAGCCATGGGGAACACTAAAGTGACAGGAAGGACTGCGGAAGGGAGCAGCCGGGGAGCACAGCGTTCCCAAAGGTCCACGTACCAAGCTCGACATATTCTCGGAAGGTCACTTCGATTGCATGGTGACCCTCCAAATCAGTCACAGACATCTGCTGAAGGCCACAAGGCACAGAGGAAATAGTTTTGTACTCATTAGAACAGCTGTAAGAAGTCTTTTCCATTATGATTTTGGAAAAGTGGAGCAGTTTGGGGAGGTGGCTGTCAAATCCCGCTAAGATAAAAGAACAGAGCGATGCTTGCGAAAGCCACCTGCATAAAGTGACGGCAATGACACCAAACAAACAAAAAGAGCAAGAATCAGGAATCAGAGAATAGAACAGGCTATAAAACAAACCAGGGAGTTCATTTATCTATAAGCTTATTACATTTCAAACTTCAAGGTACATCTACAATCCCCAAACTTCCACAGAAAATAAATACAACGTAATTAAATAAAAGGTGGTTAAATATACAAGAAATATTAAATTATACCTAAGTTATCTTTCTGCCCCCTTACTCTCTGGAAGTGAAAGTGTACCATGCAGTTCATACCTTGTCACCTTTCTCTTCCGGTTCATCTTCATTAAGGAATTCTCGTTTGGGGTATGGAATCTGGCAGCCAGCAAATACACTAAAAATCATTGAAAAGAAAAAACATGTAATGATCTAAAATTTACAGTATCATTACCTTGTTAGTTTAAAATTTCACTTTTTTTTTTTTTCTTTTTTTTGAGACAGAGTCTCATTGTGTTGCCCTGGCTAGAGTGAGAGCCGTGGCGTCAGCCTAGCTCACAGCAACCTCAAACTCCTGGGCTCAAGCGATCCTTCTGCCTCAGCCTCCCGAGTAGCTGGGACTACAGGCATGCGCCACCATGCCCGGCTAATTTTTTCTATATATTTTTAGTTGTCCAGATAATTTCTTTCTATTTTTTTTAGTAGAGACAGGGTCTCGCTCTTGCTTAAGCTGGTCTCGAACTCCTGAGCTCAAAACAATCCACCCGCCTCGGCCTCCCCGAGTGCTGGGATTACAAGCGTGAGCCACTGCGCCCGGCCTAAAATTTCACTTTTTTTTCATAACTTATTTCCTGCTCTTCATCTGTGGCTGGTGTTTGCCGGACACCTCCCAATACAACTTAAGCAATAAGAAAGAACAATTAGTCATCTGAAGTTTTACACTAATTGCCACTTTCAATTTCAAATCTTGACTACTGTTAGCTAGTCGACACATGTGACATAAAAGTCTTTCCACACTAACTTCATTAGCACCAAAAATAACTCAATTTGTATTTGCTTCAATAAGAAAATACTTTTTTTTCTCCTCAGGAAAAACTGCACCTCTAATAAAAGCAAGCACCAAGCCTGTACTTGCATGTGATAAGGATGAAGCAGTTGAGGGGTTCTGTAGCCCAGTGGATTGCACGTGCTCTGGAATTGCATTTTAAATTCTCAATTCCCTGCTGGTTTGGTTTAATCTCTGATCTGGCTGATTGGGCTAACAAGGTCTCATCTGTTCTCAGCTTTAGTTTTCATCTATAAATCTGATTAATGGTCAGATGTCTAATTAATGGTGAGTGTTTCTAAAACACTCAGTTTTATTCACACCTCTCCACAGCTCTGCCTGTTTCAAAATACAGGACCTTTCTCTCGAGCAGCTTTTCTCTGGGTAGTATTCATGAAGAAAGCGAAACACTTCAGTAACAACCGCTTCCTCTTGCTTTCAGCCACCATCTGACATCCCCGACCTACAACAAAGGACTCAGAGAGGGCAGGATACATACTCTAAGGTCGGCAAGGGGTCCTCCTGAAAATACGGGTCCTGCAGAGCCTGCTCCGAGGTAATTCTCTTGGTTGGATCCATAGTAAGAAGTTTCTGAAGCTAGAGTAACACATAGGAAATTGACAGCACATGAAAAGGTTGTTTTTAAGTCCACATTTTGTCTTTTGTACTGATTAATGTCTAACAGGATCAACATCTAATACATTGTGAATGGCTCACTACAGATTAATATACTGCACACATTTATGTAAAACTGGCAGAAATCATCAACATTAAAGCCCTTTTCTGTGATAAATCATTGACAAAATTAAGGCTAGAAGTCAAGGGTGACATCTCAACAGAAAAAATATTTAATTTTGCCCCAGTATCCACCATTTTTTTTTGTTCTAAAGAAGAATAGCTGGGACAATTCCAGGGTAAATGGGATGAGGTGAGAGTTGTGCTAAGGGTCAGATTTCAGCCTGGGAGAGAAGCACCTACCAAGAGGAACACTTTGCTGTCAGGCTTCACTTTGTGTTTCTCCACGTACTTTATGAGACTGCTGTTGGCGTACCTGCAAGGACATTAGGCAGTCACATGTCACTGGGGACATTCACACAGTTTACATTTTTTAATGAAAAGCTCCATCACTGGTTTTCCTATAAGGCATGTGTTTAAGCCACTGATTTTTTCTGATTAAAAAGGAACACTACCAAATATTGGCAAATGTACAAAAGAAATGGGAATTGTTACACACAACATTTCAGAGTTTACATTGTTATAATCCCTTCGGAAAACAATGATTTATTAACCATTAGGAGTTGAAAATGTGTATAACCTATGACCCAGCAATTCTATTTCTAGGCACATACTCAAATATAAGAGATGCTTTTTCTACATATCAGGATCCAAGGATAAGAATGTTCTTAGCAGCCTTTTAGTAATAGCAAAAAATTGTTAACAACCCAGATGTGCATCAACTGAAGAATGGGGTAAATCAATTGTTATATAGTAACAGAATGGAAGGTTATACAATAGTAAAAATTAATACATAAGGTTGAGTGGAGGGAAAAAAGGAAGTTGTAGAAAAAAATAGTACGATAGCATTTCTATAAAGTTCGAAGACATTAAAACAATAATTTTTAGAGATACATACATGTGGAGTAAAACTATGATGAAAAATGTGGAATGATATACACAAATTCAGAACACTCAGCGTCTACCCTCAAGGAAGGATGTGAACAGGGAGAAAGGGTATACAGGGTACTTCAGTAATCCTAGCAATGTGCTATTTCTTAGGTTGAGAGGTGAGTGAAAGGGTATTCATTTTATTATTCTAAATATACTAGATATCATATTTTCAACATATATGTTCTTTCCTACATATGAAATATTTCAAATTAAAAAGGTCTAAACATAGGTAATATATGTTCATGGTTAAAAAAACAATTAGAGAATATAGAAAAGTATAAAGAAGAAAACTTAAATCACTCATAATAATTCAAAGATAATGAACCACTGTCAAAATTTTTATAATTTTCCTTTGCATGTGTCTCTATACATACACATATATGATATACCAACACAGGGATTTTTTTCCTTTGTTTTTATAAAATAGGAATCATAGTATAAAAATTGTTATAGCTTTTTTCACTTAATATTGTTTCATAAACGTTTTCCCTTGTCAAATGCTCTTTATATTTATTATTTTGAGTGACTGTATATCTCCTACTGGTACGATATTGTTTTTTTTATAATAGCTGTGACATGCAGGTCCCTGTAGGAAAATCTGATGCACATGGCAGGGAGGCAATACTGCACTGCAGGAGACAATCACAGACCCCTGCTGGACCCTAACTCAGTCATTTACCAGCTGTGTGATCTTCGGCAAGTTAGTTAGCCTCTATGAAAGGTTTAGGTTCCTCACCTGAAAAATGGGGATTTATAATTATACCTACCCTATAGATCTGCTATGAAGATCATATAAGAAAATGTAGGTCAAGGGCTTAGCACCATCCTAGCACACAGTAAGTACTCAGCTATTTGTGGCAGCTCTGATTACTTCCACAGGACAAATTCCTGGACTTATCAGGTCAAAGGGGATGCTCATTTTAAAGCCTTTTTTGGGTGCTCTAGAATCTTGCTACACAAACGTGGCCTTGGTCAGCAGCCTGGGCATCACCTGAGAGCCTGCATTAGAAATGCAGATTCTCAGGCCGGGCGTGGTGGCTCACGCCTGTAATCCTAGCACCCTGGGAGGCTGAGGTGGGTGGATTGTTTGAGCTCAGGAGTTTGAAACCAGCCTGAGCAAGAACGAGACCCCGTCTCTACTAAAAACAGAAAGAAATTAATTGGACAACTAAAAATATATAGAAAAAATTAGCCGGGCATGGTGGCACATGTCTGTAGTCCCAGCTACTCGGGAAGCTGAGGCAGGAGGATCGCTTGAGCCCAGGAGTTTGAGGTTGCTGTGAGCTAGGCTGACGCCACGGCACTCTAGCCCGGGCAACACAGTGAGACTCTGTCTCAAAAAAAAAAAAAAAAAAAAAGAAATGCAGATTCTCAGGCCTCCAGATTCTAACTCAGAATCTACATTTTTAACAAGATCTCCAGTTGATCTGTATGTAGGTAAAGTTTCAGAAGCACTCATTTTCACCAGGAGCTGAGGAGTGAGACTGCCCATTTTATTGTACCCTTGCCAACACTAGATATTTTCATTTCAAAAATCTTTGCCATGTGTAAAAGAAAAATTCCTCTAACACCAGGAAAATTTTTATTGGCAAGGTACATGCTGAGTGTGGTAATGGGAAGAAACCTTAAAGTGTATGTAGAAGAGAGGTCTGTCTGCATGTGTGTGGCCTGCATGTTGAATCAGCTTTTACTCAGGTTAACTCCAGATGCTAGGTTATTTGTTTCTATCATAACATAAAAGGTCTTCGATTTGAGATGTCCTATTGCTCAATTCTCATTTTGGTTTCTTCTTGTCTTACCAAGTATTAACGTCAAGTTCAATTGTTTGTCATTTTCCGACTTACCCCTTCCAGGTTTGCTACAGTTTGGGAGCTGAACAGTTTTCAAAGACAACCAAACTCTTGATACACTTTATGAAGCATTTTATCAGACTATGTTCATTCAAATATTCAATGTTTTAAAGTCAACTTAATGATTTCCTTTTAAATCTATTTTTACCTTGCCTTCTAATGAACTAATTGGAGTTGACACTTTGTATAGATTTCAGAAACTTCTGTTGTCATTCTTCCCAATTCATTTTAAGAGCAATTTTTTGGGTTCTTTTTATTTGACACAATAAAAACAAGCGGTTATCTTTTTACTTTTTATGTCATTTGAAATAATATTTTCTAGAATCTTTTTCCTCACTATGTTTTACTTTAGTGACTTTCATATACTGCATTAGATTTCACTAATTCTTAACACATCCCTTGTTGTCCTATGTATTAGCAGCCTGTTTTTCTGTTGGGTAGGATTGCTTGCTTAAGAAGTATGGGCTCTTATCTCTGGACTTTTCCATTATTTTTCTAACTGAATTTCATTTATCTTTTTATATTTCTCTCCTTTTATTTCTGGTTATTGTGAACACTATCATTTTACGTAAAACTTCTCATTTGGTGTTTAAATACTAAGTTAGACATTAAGTGCCTCCATTAATTTTCTCCACCTTTTATACTATTAGAGTATCTTCAATTACTTAAACTACTTTCATTCAATATCCATTTGACAAGTAATTCATCAGCATGTACCGTGTGCCAGTCCCCGGAGACACATATAATGGCATATAGAATAGGGATGATCCATACATCTGGAGGGAAAGACAGATAGTATTCGAAAGCTAACTGTAGTACACGGTGACCAGTGCCGAGCGAAGCAGCACAGGATGTGACAGGACTGCAAGAAGGAACCACCTAGCTCAGATCTGGAAGGTCAGAGGAGCCAAGACGTACAGGATGAGTAGAAAAAATTAAGTAAGAATATGATGAAAGGGGTGGGAAGAAACTATATCCTATTGAGAGAACAGCATGTGTAAAAATCCAGAGGTCAAAGAAAGCTCAGGGTGTTTGAGGTACTTAAAGAAATCCCCAGTGTTGAGGCTATGGGATACAACATGGAGAGTGGTTAGGAGATGAACCTGGTGATGAAGAAGCCGAAGCTCGGCAAGCCATGTTAAGGAATGGAAAGCAGGGGTAAATTCAGAGCAACCAGGAAACTGACATGATCAAATTTGCTATTGATGACGACTGCAGTACAGGAGGTGAGTTGGAATGAAGAATGAAGTTAGAAATACCACTTTAGGGGGCCATTGCAAGATTCTAGGGGAGAAGAAGGTGGTGGTTTGGACTATAATAGTAGTAGGATAGATGGAGAGAAATAGAAAGATTAAAAGGACTTTTAGAAGAAAGAACTAGGCCTAGATTTGCTCATTGTTTGGATGCTGGGGGTGAAAGGGAAGAGAGTGAGACAGAAGGAGGATCAGGGATAACTCTCAGGTCTTTAACTTAACAATTAGGTGAATCAGGAAGCCATTTTCTAAGACAGAAAATACAGCAGGAAAAGAGGTTAGGGAGGCTAGATTATGAGTTCAGTTTTGGACGTTTAATCTAAAGCACTTATGGAACATTCAGGTTGGGATTCTGTAAGGCAATTAGATAAATGGGCTTGAAACTTAGAAAAGAAATCTGAGTAGGATATATAAATTAGGAGTTATCAGCATAATTGATGGTAAATTGTGGCCACAAAAATCACGGAGTCTGCCTAGGAAAATGTCTAGAGTGAGAAGAGAGCCCAAGACAGAACCTTGATATCAGTGCTGCCTTTAAGAGATGGACCCTATAAAGGACTGTGCAAAAGAGGGGCCAGAAATGATCAATGCCATTCTCTACTTCTCTTTCTGATGTCTGCTTTGTTCCTACAAGCCATCCCGTCCTGAAATTTTCTTGGTAAGTTGCCCAAAACAAAACTCTTCCACAATTTTCTCCAGGTGTGCATATATACCAAAGTCCTCACATGCCATCACCTGTACTCTCCTCTCATTTCTACTCAATGTACGTGTCTCCACCAGTCTGTTTTACTCAGATCCCAGCCCATCTGTTCTTCCTTCTGCAATCCTTCCTGGTTTCCTAGTCCAGCATTTCAGTTACCACTCTTTCATCACTCAGATAAAGACAAAACTACTACAGTTATGGCCCTGAACTGAGTCCTTTATCATGCTGAAACAGAATAGACATTAAATTATCTATTGACCCTTAAATTCTTTAAAGTTTTTAATACTGCAGCCTAAACCTGGCATATATGTTAACAGTAGCTGGAAGTTCTTTTTTAAATCATAGGCATAATTAATATGCTAAACTCTAAGTTTCTAGTTTAAATAATAATCTACATCTACATCTAATCTACATTTTTAAAAAGATTAATTTAAATGCTCCCTTTGAGTTACTACCTACAATTAGTGTGTGATATGTTTGTATACCCTCCAAAATTCATGTTGAAACTCAATTCCCAATGCAACAGCATTGGAAGGTGTGGCCTTCAGGAAGTGATTAGTGATTAGTGGTGAATGGGATTAACGCCTCATAAATAGGCTTCACGTAACATTCACCCCTTTTTGCCCTTCTGCATTCTACCATGTGAGGACACGGCAACAAGGTGCCATCCTAGAAGCAGAAAGCAGCCCTCAGCAGACACCGAACCTGCTGGTGCCTTGGTCTTGAACTTCCCAGCCTCCAGAATTGTGAGAAAATAAATTCCTGTTATTTATAAACTACCTAGTCTAAAGTAATTTTTATAGCAGCACAAACAGACTAAGACAATATGGAATTACTTACGTTGTTCTTCTGAAGTCTTTTTGAAGTGTGGGGTATTCTGGCATCTTTCGAATATCTTCCCAGTCTTTATCTTACAAAAAAAATTGAATATTGTTATAGAAAATAATGTGCTAATTCTATTTAAAATCTCCTAATTATTTTAGTTTAAAATATACATAAAATATGCTTTTGAAAAGAAATGATTTTTAAATATGATTCAAAATATCATCTTGAAAAGGAAAATGAATTACCTGCTGGAAACCCCATGACACTAAAAATTCGATCTAGTTGATCATGATGAAAGGGATTGCTTGTTTTTATATCTTCCTGACGACAGTGAAAAATGGGTTCTGAAGTCAACAATTCAGCAAATATGCAACCTATTGCCCATATATCTATGAAGGAAGAAAAACAAGTTTTGTACACATTTATTATATTTCTTTGCTTATTCCTGAGTATAATCTCAACCTACAGATAAAAATACTTTTCAGTAAATAAATGTACAAAATACAGTAAGTGCATTAACATGTAAATGTCATGAAATAGCAGTATCATGTAACAGATTGAAAGCTAAATGAAAAACATTTACTTATAAATTTTCTGAAGAAGATAAACTTGGGAAACTCAATTTAGCAAGCAATGAATTTTTTAGATTTAGGCAAAATCCTTTCTAACCGCTATTAATAATTTAATCACTCAAACGTTCAACTGATAATCTAATACCAGGCATAATACTTAGATCTGACAAACTGATACAATATCATCATCAGATATGGTGATGTGAGTCCTTTAAAGTAATCAAATGAATAATGATAGAGCAGAATTTATAAGTGTTGAATAGATAGTACACACCACATAAAAGGATTTGGAAAAAAATTTTGTCTGAAAGACTACCAGTTTCAGTTTTTTCAACAAATTGTAAAGTCTAGAAATTCATAAAGAATACAAGTATATAAGCACTGCACGACACCAGCAGAGATAGATCTTACCTAAACATATTCACTCAGATGCTGCCCCATCCCCATCCCAACCCTCAGGATAAAGTTAGGTATTTTTTAAAGTTCTATTAACTATTTAAAATCACCAGTTATAGATTATTCCGCTGAATTTTATACACTGAAAGACTGTGATTTATATTCTGAGAACATATTATATTCACAATGCTTTGCCAAATGTATAAGGAAATTAACTCTTGTGAGATGTATAATTCACCCGTGTCCACTTAAATAAATGCCATTTCATAAGTATTTTTAAAAAAGAAAAGATAGTAATGCAAGGACTATGTTATAGTACAGAAAAGTACACAGTGTTTAGTAGCCTAGCAACTGTGAGCATCACTTTCTAAGCTAAATAAGAAAAAAGTTTAATTGCAGTAGTCCCCACTTATCCAAGGTTTTGCTCTCTGTGGTTTGTTACCCACAGTCAACCATGGTCTAAAAATATTAAATGGAAAAATCCAGAAACATACCATTTATAAGTTTTAAATTGTGTACAATTCTGAGTAGTGTGATGAAATACCACACTGTCCTGCTCCATCCAACAAGGACATGAATCATCTCTTACATTCAGTGTATCCACACTGTATACTCACTACCTGCCCGTTAGTCACTTAATGGCCATCTGGGTTATCAGATAAAAAAAAAAAACAACACAGTATCAGCTGGGCACAGTGGCTCACACCTGCAATCTTAGCACTACGGGAGGCTGAGGTGGGAAGGTCACTTGAGCCCAGGAGTTAGAGACCAGCCTGAGCAATACGGTGAGACCCCATCTCTACAAAAAATTTAAAAAATTAGCTGGGCATGGTGGCACATGCCTGTAGTCCTAGCTACCTGGGAGGCTGAGGCAAGAAGATCACTTGAGCCCAGGTGTTGGAGGCTGCAGTGAGCTATGATCACACCACAGCACTCCACAGCCTGGGCAACACAGTAAGACCCTGTCTCAAAAAAAAAAAAAAAAAAAATGCCAAAACATAGTATATATAGGGTTCGGTGCTATCTGTGGTTTCAGGCATCCACTGGGGCCTTGGAACATACTCCTAGCATATAAGGGGAACTACTGTATATTAACTAGCTAGAATGAGTGTTGTATGCTAGTTCATAAAACAAATTGCCAAATGGAAAAAACTACACAGCAACCCCTCACTTATTTGACCCCATCAGGAATAGTTTCTTTCCACAGAAGTTAGCCTTCTGGATAATGGGAACATATTTCTTTAATGACCATTTTTTATTACACTACTATCTGCCATCGCAAGAGGCTATAAAACATAATTTAATCTTCCTTAATGATGCAGCAAGGTCATCACCACCGTGAACATCATCCCTACAGAGTAGAGTAACAGTACTGTTCAATGTCTACTTTTTAATTCTTTTCTCTCTCCCACATCGTGTTGGTTGTCACTCTTGCCCCCAACATGACTGCCTCTGACAGTCCCATCTCTCTTTCTCCCGCCTGCCTCTACTACGCAGTCAGCTGGGACTACTACTGCCTGCTGATGGTCATGCCAATTCCTGGTCTGTCCTCTACTCAAAGGACAGGAGCCAATAGCTAGATTTCCTTATGAATTGCTAAGATAAAGAATCTCACCGTGGCAGGTAGCACTAAATTCTAGGGTTTCCTGCCTCATATTAGCCTATAATTTCAAATGGTCACCTGGCTCCTGCATCATCTATCCCAGCTTCTCAGGTCTCTTTCCTGTATCAATGACTTGTTCTCTGATACACACATACATGCACCCCTCCCCCACTATTGCTACCACCATTGTCACTTCTCTCCCCCACTAAATGTCATTCCACTGATATCAGATTTATCACACTTTCTTTTTTCTGTGCTCTGAAAATAAATACTCATTTCTAACATGGACCAGGTATGGAGAATAGCGAGAATGAGTGACTATGTATGTACTTATGTATGTCTGCCATGAATATATTTCAAGCCCAAAGATAACTGATTTGGGGATTATTCTTTTTCTCTGTCTTAACTTTTCTTCTAACTTCTATCCAGAATGGATAATTGGGACTTGACTAAAATCAGAAATTAGTGATTGTGTTTTTATCTTTAAGTGGTAAATTTCATTTACTGAGCAAGTAAGTTGCAGGCTGGTTAAATTTCAGTTCTCCTTACCCTGAGGAAATAAGAAATATAATTGGTTTTCGATTCATACCCAATTGCCTTTATTTCAAAAAAATCACATCTATTTTCAACAGTAGAGAAATTAATTAGAAAATATCCACGAAACTGTGCTTCTCAAAGTGTGTGGGTCACGCACAACAACATCACCTAAGGGTATGTATTAAAAATGGGTCGTACCATGGTCCTGCCGCATTAGAGTCTCTGATAGTGGGACAGGCATTTAGTTTAACAAAGTTTTGGCTGAATTCGCCTTTTCTTAATGGAAATCTCCCTTTTCGGTTCAGACTGCACTAGCAGTTGGTGAGAGCCTCAGACGCCTGGATTTCTATTAACCTTGCATCCTCCATCCCCTCCCTGGGCCCTGGGTAGCACCATCAAACCTGTTCTAAGGCACCACCTGTTACTTCCAACTAACATTCCCCCTCTCCCTGGCTTACTTTTAGTCTCTTCCTATCTTCTGGTGCCTTCTGAGATTGTCTAAGGGATTTGACTGTTCTCAATAGTGAGTAAGGAGAGATCCAAATAAAAGAAAAAACAAGCTTATAATTCTAAAAGTTTCAAAAATACAGCCCCACAGTGAAAGTTACTTGTTGGAGTGTAAAAAGGGCCAGGCTCTGATTTTAGCTCCTCATTCTTAAGGCCACTCCAGCCCTTCCACTTGCTTTCCGGGTCCTCCTTCCTTTACCCCGCGCAGACAGCTGCCACTGTCCACCGCTGGCAGCACGGCCGCGGCAGCCTCTGAGCCGCTGTGTTACCGCAGGCTCAACTGCTCGACTACGGGTCTAACGTCAGTCTCACATTCCTCTTCTGTCAGACACATACTGGCTTTCCTCAGAGTTCTGAGACTACTCAGGGGCTTTTTGACTAATTTAACAAGACCATTCAGCAGTATTTATAAAATATTTACAAAATTCCAGCACTGGACTAGTGTCTCAGTCCCTGGGCGAAATATAAATGTGTTCTGGGTATCTGAGTTCTGTAGAAATCAGACCTTCTGATGAATGAGAACATTACTATATTTTGATTTTTGTTTGTTTTTACCCATGAATAGATTTATTATCAAATGTGAGAACTTCCTTTGTAGTTCTTTGGGTGCCACCAGGTTTTTCAGAAGCTTGTTTAATGTAGAAATTTAGGTACCTTATAGAACTAGCACTTCTAATAGATATAACTTACTCTCCCTGTACCCTCACTTTTTACTCCCTGTAAAGAAATCTCCAGGTTTGAGGAGGGCTCTCCCCAGCTGACTCCCTCAACTCACAGCTGGGCCCTCTGAGGACACTATAGCGACCAGGTAGCAAAATCTCTGAAGCCTCTGTTCTAAAGCAGCTTCTAAATCCTGCGGAGAGTGTGTTTATAACAGGTTTTCTTACTCAGTTTTTCCACTTGGTGAGATGGCAAGAAGCTGAGCAGCTAATCTACCTGGACTCTATTTCCTACCTTAAAGGAGAACTGCCATTCTGATAACTGTAATGGTAAGAGAGAAAGATTAGTCATTGTTTCTTGCTTAGGAAAGTATATGACTGACTAACTTTTCCCCCAATAGAAAGGTCTCTCTCCAATACTGTACTATTCCTGTTTTCTTTTTTTCTTTTTGTGAAGAAAACAATTCTAAACCTCTCTCCAGTTTTTCTGATCAATAGCTAGGTAAATACAAAATCAAATATGCATGTTATTCTTTCCATAGCAACTCAATAGGATCAGATACTTCTATTCTCTGTAAGAAAATTCTTTTTTGTTTTTTCCTCAAACATAAGGAAACAAGCAGAAAATGCTTTCTTTTAAAAGAACCATATTCTCCTATATAGTTAAAAACCCAAATCTACCAGAATATAAAATCTAGGAATATAGAAGACAACAGGACTTTTATAAAGATATATAAAGTGGTTTTTATCGAGTAGCTTTATTATTATACCATTTGGTATTTATGATAATTCAATGGCAAGATAGTAAATCACTTTAGACTAACTTACCAATGGCCTTTGTATAATGTCTTGCACCAAGCAAAAGTTCTGGAGCCCGATACCAAAATGTCACAACTACTGGATCCAAATCTGCTAGTGGCTTTAGAGGAGAATTGAATAATCTGGCAAAACCCATGTCAGCTAAAAAATGAAACAAATTAATATAAAATTCAGTTCAACATGCTATTAGAATCATGCAAGTTTGACAACAGTACCTGCTAACCTTATAAACCAATCCTTTTCCTCCCTTTTTAATCAGAGGTCTGCAGTAGGCACCAGATAGGAATTACTGCATTTATCTTTAGTATCTCCCCTCTGAAGTAGATAGTATTCTTGTGCCTGTTTTACTGATGAAGAAACTGAGGTTTAAAGATATTCTGACTTAGCCAAGGTCATAGAGCTAGGAAGTAGAGTCAGAATTAGAATCCAGGTCTGAGTACAGATTTCTGGGCTTTCAGACACAGTTACAATAACGTTCTTCAATGTTTTTAAAATCTAAAATAGACTAAAAGTCTCCACAATTAATTATGACTTCTGTATGCCTATGCATCTAAAAACTGACTATATCTTAGTTCGGTGTATACTGCAACCAGATCCTACAAACTCACAAGAGCTTATTTGTTGATCTCTTCCCAACTCTGCATTCAGTGACAGCATACTGGTGACTAGGAATTGGCGATGGTGGGAGTATTTACATCATGGAAAACAGCAAATGCTACAAATTGGGACTTTTTCCCCCCTAGAGAGCCAGTTGTTGAATAGTCATCAGCACATCACATACATATTTCCAAGAACATGAATAGAACACATATGAGATAATTTATTATAATTCAGCATTTAACAAAGGTGTAAACCAAAGCTAATCAATTTAAGTATTTGGGGTATACAAAAGTAGTAAAAAGAATACTTATTACTATAATAAGGTCCTGGAGGCTAATTTTCTTAAGATTTCATAAGTAACAAATACCTTATATCTACAAAATGCTTTGCAGTTTATAAATGACTTTCATATACATCATGTCTCACTTCATTTAATCCTTATAAGAACACTGGTTTAGTAAGTATCTTGCTCCCCATTTATGCTCAAAGCAGTTGAATGACTTGCCCAGGATATAGTAAGTAAAGGAATAGTAAGTAAAGATGCCAGTACTTGAACAAAAACCACGTTACAATTTAGGAGCTACATTCTTAACCACTGATCTGACACCCAATATATTATACATATGATAACTGCAAGTCACAAAGGGAAAGTCACAAGAATGATAAACCTCTATAATTTGAAGTATATAATATATACAGTACATTTTAATTATATAAGGGCCCCCAACGTTCTGTAAAATGCACAAATGCACCTAAAAGTTTCAACTATAGTGCCATTTAATCTAAAACTAACATGCTATGATGTGACATATGTTAAAATTTTAATTTACAATGATTTTGTTTCTTTAGGGCTTGAATAATTTATAAGACTTCCTGAGAATGCTTTGGAGTATCCAGTTCTTAAAAACTAAAGCTATCCAAGGAAGCCTGTGTTGATACCTACTCTTTTTCAACTCAATTTCCCTGTCGCAAACAAAAATATTCAAAATCATGCTCTCAATATTATACCTATTATTCTACAATATTACACAATATTCAAAGCACTGCTTTAGATATTTAATAGACGCTGATTGTTGTTAATGGAAAGTAGTATGATGGAATGCTGTTTCATCCACTGAAAAGCATTTTGAAGTAAAGGCTAAAGCCAGTATTTGTCCCTTTATTCTCTATCTCCTTAGTTTTAGTTTTACCTAAGCCTCATCTATTAACTGTCAGATGAAATCAAGGCCAGAAGGAAATAATAAATACTCTTAAAAACAATTCCTGTCTATTGTATGAACTTTAAGAGAGTTTCAAACCACTTTTCAAATAATTACTAATTTAGACAAAAGGAACTAGCTTAAAGATTACTATAACATTTGTTTTCCTAAAATTAGATATGGATGAAATTGTTCAATTCAATGGCTAGGGGAAGTAAAATTTGGGTGTGGATGCTCATTAGGCAGTATAAAAGGATAGAAAAGCAGCAACAGACAAGATCTACCATCCAAGGAGCTCACGCAGAGGAGAAATGACAACATGCATGGAGTAGATAAAAGTTAAAAAAGGTATAAGTACTGTCAGAATAAAGAAAGTTGCTATCGGTTTCTACCAAATGCTAAGTCCCTTTGGGGGAGGATCTATGTATTCTTCTATGTCTCCTTCTTGGTATTATCTGGAACAATGTTTAATAAATATCTGTAGAAGTGGACTAAATTGAAAGTGGAACTTGGGCTGGATCCTAAAGGAGAATCATTTTGCATAGTGAAAAAGGCAGGCAGTAATGTTTTAGGTAAAGCCTGGGAAGTCTGTAGGTGGCTGGGGAGGGGAAAGCTCAGATACAGGGAAAGGCACAGTGTTTTCTATTCAACTATGCTTTTCTTTCATGCCAAAAAAAGAACTGTATTAAAGCATTAGGCATAGGCATCAGTATTACTAATTTTTAAAAAATAATGGCTATTAAAATTTAAAGGCAATTTAATCAGCTAGATTGCTTGTCCACAAGATCTTTATTATTAATTATTGCTTATTTTTAAGCCTGGCTTTATCCCTAATTTTGGGTCGAATAACAATCCTAAAACTCTGAACAGTAACTAACTGGCCTGGCCAGAGTACAGAATTTTATGTTGAGGAGTAATAGGAGAAGACATTAGCCTTGAGTGACTGGGATAAATGTAATAAATGGTACAAACGAGGGAGAACATAAGAAGATGACCACAGATCTGGTTTGGGACAACAGGGTGTAAGTTGCCAACAGGACATCTAAAGAGAGACAAAGACTCCAGCTAGGGCGAGAGACCACAATCTCAGATCCAGATCTTAGAACCATTTTCATAAAATCCAAGATTTTGAGGCCACATCTTATAAATCCCCTAAAGAAATAATTGTAGATGGAGGTCATGTCCCAAGCCAGTGCCTAGAGTGTCTTGAAACAATAGGTTAACAGGAATAAGAGGTAATAATGACTAAAACATAGAAGGAACAGCAAAAGTTGTAGGCAGAAAAGCGGAATTATGTTATATCATATAGACCAAGGGAGAAGACAGCCTCAAAGCCGGACTGGTCAGAAGAACAAATGGTGTATTCTCCAGTGAAGGAGAACGGTGGCTAACACAGGCCACTAGGTTTGGTAAGGCAGTGGTCACAGGTGTCCTTTTAGAGAGCAATTTTGATAGAGGGATGGAATTAAAGACCAGATTATAATAAATTAGGGTAAGTGAAACCAAAGGGTGAACATCATGTGTTCCAGAGATAGAGGAACAAGAGGGGAAATAAATAGAACAATGCTAAAGAAAACAAGAAAATAAATATGAAGATTTATTTTAAAATTGGGCAAAGGACTACGTTTAAAGGTGAATAGGGGCTGGGCGCGGTGGCTCACGCCTGTAATCCTAGCACTCTGGGAGGCCGAGGCGGGCGGATTGTTTGAGCTCAGGAGTTCGAGACCAGCCTGAGCAAGAGCGAGACCCCGTCTCTACTAAAAATAGAAAGAAATTAATCGGACAACTAAAAATAGATAGAAAAAATTAGCCAGGCATGGTGGCGCATGCCTGTAGTCCCAGCTACTTGGGATGCTGAGGCAGAAGGATTGCTTGAGCCCAGGAGTGTGAGATTGCTGTGAGCTAGGCTAACACCACGGCACTCACTCTAGCCTGGGCAAAAGAGTGAGACTCTGTCTCAAAAAAAAAAAAAAAAAAAAAAAACAGTGAATAGGAGAAACTTGAGGGAAAATGGCAATACTGAAACATGGGGAGCTTAAGTATGGCAGGAAGATATCTAGAAGCTAGGAAGGGCACAAGTAGATGGGACTTAGGAAGGGAAGAATCACTGTTTCGCTGAGGCTGTTTCAAAGGCAGAGCCACCAAAGAGTGGAGGTCAGTGAGGTCGCACCAGACAGCTCTGATGTCACAGGCAGGGATGTTTGCAGGGAAAGAGTCTCAGCACTTGGAATTCAAGTCCTAGCTTTGAAAGGCTGAGCAAGCTACAACCTCTCTAACTCCAGTTTTCCCTATCTGTAACATCTACCTTTACAGGGTGGTTGTGTAAAATAAATGAGGTAACATATGAATGCACCTATCACACCGTACAGTAAACTGTTTATTTTACTGTCTCTCACAGGGAGGGACCATCCTTTATCTCCCTCCTTTCACCTGTGTCTGGCAAAAAGTAGGGACTCAATAAATGCCTCTAAGAAAAGAAATGTAAGAGTAAAATAAAAATAGAACCGAATGAGAATGAGTGGTGGAAAGGGAAGAGGGAGGGAAGAGAAGGAAAGCAGCCACGGGGTACTTAATTAACATCAACAAGCTTTTGAATGAATCTGAGTAGAACTTTAAAGAAAAGGAAGTTGGTCTAGGACAGCTTCTTCAGGAACTGGGCTAGGGAGTTAATTGAAGAAGTACAAAAACAAGTGGCAGGGCAGCTTGAAGTAGGACAGCATGAATTTGTAGTAGGTCAAGTTAGCACAATTTTTCACTACCTCTAGCACGGCATATTCTAATAGCAACGAATGCAGTCTGATGAACAAAATTTCTTTCAAATTCCTTCTAAAAAGGATTGAACATCCAATTAATGTAATTTCTATCAAAAGGAATTAGAATAAAGCATTTCTTAGCTTATTTTCTCCCCAAATATGTCACAGGTACAAATGATGCTGATTTCTTTTAAAACCTTCAGGGATGCAAAGGAAATTTTTTAAATATACAGATAAGATTCCTGCCAGTGCCTTAATCTAAGACAGGCAGGTAAAAGAGGCTGTAAACATACACATTCATTTGGAAAAGATATGTTAGTACCTGGCACAGGACGTGCAGGCCTGGGGTGGCTAAGTGGGGAAAACCTGTGAGGGTTTGTATGTATTAGTTCAGGGTAGGGAGGGAAGTATTCAGAGAGAAAACATTTGGTAAACCTGAGACAAAAGCAAGATTTAGGGAATTATGTTGAGGGTGACTGTGCAGGACAGTGGTGGTGAGATAAACACATGCCTGTGATACTGCATGGGAATGAATGCTTTTGTGAGCTTGCTTGTTAATTTCCAGTGACGCCTCAACCTAGAATTATACAATCCCATTTTGGGGAAAAAACCAGGAGTTTTACAGACTATCTATCTACATTTTCCAGCATCCTTTCTAAAAATATTATGAGGAAGTAATTTTAAAATTAACTATTTAAATAAGGGTATTAAAAGGGGAAAGCATCTTTGCAGTCACTTCAATTTCTTAATAAATTATTTTAGGAATATTACCTACCTATTTTGACTCTCCCCCTTTCAGGACCTTCTCCCATTACTAGGATATTTGCTGGTTTCTAGAAATAAAAATAGAGCATTCAAATTACTATGTTTATTCTTTTGACATGCTCTAAAATGGAGAAAAGTTCTTATAATATGAAAATATCATTTCTGTATTTTTATCAAAACTATAATCAAATATTAAGTACCCTCTGCATAGTAGTTAAAGCATTTGACATACCTGAAGTTAGCACTAACTTTATATAAACATTCTTGCCATGGAAACATACCTTATTTTCAAAATCATATCATACAAATAATTACAAAGCAATTAAATCTATCATTTCTATTCACCCTGTAAAATAAAACTAATAATTTTTAAACCTGCACAAATTATAAACTGTCTGCTTACTGTCAACAACAAAGAGTTTATGTGGTTGAAAATTTTTCTGTAAAATTTCAAACCACAACATAATTGCCTTTATTTAAGTAAATCAAATGGAATATTCCTTGTTAAATATTTTCTACACTACCATAGGAAAACATGATCGACATTCAACAGACTCCATTAAAATTCATGTATCAGGCCGGGCACGGTGGCTCAGGCCTGTAATCCTAGCACTCTGGGAGGCCGAGGCGGGCGGATTGTTTGAGCTCAGGAGTTCGAAACCAGCCTGAGCAAGAGCGAGACCCTGTCTCTACTAAAATTAGAAAGAAATTAATCAGACAACTAAAAATACATAGAAAAAATTAGCCGGGCACGGTGGCGCATGCCTGTAGTCCCAGCTACTCGGGAGGCTGAGGCAGAAGGATTGCTCGAGCCCAGAAGTTTGAGGTTGCTGTGAGCTAGGATGACGCCACAGCACTCTAGCCCTGGCAACACAGTGAAACTCTGTCTCAAAAAAAAAAAAAAAAAAAATTCATGTATCAGCTATAGTACATGCAAAAGCAAGATATTCCAAATATAATTTCAAGATGTAGGAAAATAAAAACCAAGGCTAATACAGAACTATATAAAGAAAAGAGTAGGCTACAAATGTATCTCTACCATTTTTTAAGCCATCCTCATCTGCAGACATTTGGAAACAGAGAAACTGTGGAGATAGGTTTTTGTTGGGTGAAGGGGACAAGTAAGTCTCCGGTATAGACTCTTCAGAGAGAAAATATGTTGTTTTTATCTTATTGGACTCATTTATTCAATCAATAAATATATTTTTAGTGTCTTCTTGGGACAAAGAACCATGCTAAGCATTAAGACAAAAAACAAAAGCACAGTAAAAACCAAGTTCCTAAACTCCAGATGCTCACTACATAAGTAGAAAAAAAATTAAGAAGCATTATATAATATTAGGAGATAATGCTATGTATGAGTTATAGAGAGGATTGAGGTCTTGGGTTAGAGATTAAACTGGATTACTTTTACGATCCCTTCCAATTTGATTTTCTTTGAACGTTTCAATGAAAACAATAAGCACTAAAAAAATACTTCAAAGGAGGAAGTGACTAACTAGAGATTTCACTGTTAAGGGAAACGTTCACGGGGCTGGGGGTGGGAACAGTGTCCATAGCCAGATCCTGAAAAATGACCAGGAGCCAGCATGGCAGAGTAGAGGGAGGGCAAGGATGCCACAGGAGATGGCAAAGGCTGTAAACAGGGATGTGCAGGACACAGTAATAAGTCTCACTGGACAGAAATGAGAGGGCTCATGTTGACGGTGGTAGGATGAATCTAGTCTTAAATGCCAGGTCAAGTAATCTGAGCCTCATGTTACAGGCAGTGAGAATACAGGAGAGGGGGAGCTACCGGAACTGGGTGTCAGCTGATCAGAGTTTTGTCCAATGTCTTGTCAGCAGGACAAAGAGGGAGGTATGGAGCTGAGAAGCATTTTAGAGGAGAAAATTAACAGGACTTTTGACTGGTTCAAGTCAAAAGATTAAGAAAAAAGGGTGGTAAAGATTTTGCCAAGGTTTTGAGTTTGTGTGACTAAAAGAATGCTGGTGCCTTTTTATGGAAATAGAACAATTATGAGAGGTACTGGTTTGGGATGGGAAATAACCAAGAGAAGGGGATGACATACTGAGTTTGAGCAATGTGAAATGCCTGAGGCATACTAGCCCGGGGAGTGGGAGCAGGAAGATTTGGGCTTGAAGTTATTGTCACTGGAGTGTGATAACTGAAAACATAAGACTGGACTGGTTCACCACAGCAGAAAGAGAAAAATAGCATCAGACAGAATCTGGACCTTCGAAATTCAAATCTGGAAACTATTATATTTATCAAAGACCCATTATGTATAAAATGTACTTCAGACTTTCAAGGAACAAAGAGAAATAAAACATGAAGACCTTGACTTTAAGGAGCTTAAATCTAGTAGGGAAAGAGAGAGATGGCTTTTTAGAACATGAGGCAGATTATGGAAAGTACCAAAGGAAAAAGAAAAATTGCTGCGAATGAATGATTTTTTTTCCATTGTACATCAGGATAGTCTTTAGGAAGATGACTTTGGATGACTTTAAGTAAGGATGACTAAGATTTCAATAAGCATAAAAAAAAAAAAAGAATGATTTTTCAGGCTCATAGACCCCTACAGGTTAAGGACATGGTCACATAAGGACACAGACACGGTGTACTGAGACTTTGTGTTGTGATGTGACTAGAGCATAAAATGTCCAGTGTAGAAATAAGACTAGAAAACTATGTTGGGAATAAAATGCCACATTAAAGAAACTGGAATTTATTCTACAGGCAAAGCCAATACAGAACAGTGAGACAATCAGATTTATATTTAGGAAGAAAGTCTGGCAGTGATGTGAAGGACAGAGTAGAAAGGATGAATGCACCACAAAGCAGAGAGACAGAGAGACCAGCCGGAAATGGGCTACAATAGTCGATGGAAATGTAAGGACACCCTAACTGTGACAAGGGTCACAGAGGAACGTAGAAAAGCATTTCAAGGCCAAAGTTCAAGATTTGATATTGCTTTTCACTTTTTTACACCATCCTCTCCACCCTCATTCATTCAACAAATATTGATTGATCAGATCACATACTAAGTAACAGGCAGTGGTTTAGATGCTAAAGATGCAGCAGAAAACAAAAATGGGCAAGGGAAAAATCCTTGCCCTCATAGAGCTTACATTCCGGTGGGAAGAGAAAGGCAATAAACAAATATACAGCACGTCATATATTGATAAATACTGTGTAAAAACAAAACAAGGAAAATACAAAAGATTGCCACAATTAGGTGCTCTGAGGGTCTCTGCCCTTACAGAACAACTACATGCTCCATAAGAAACAAGCCAGGTGCGGTGGGTGTGAGCCCATAGTCCCAGCTATTTGGGAGGCTAAGGTGGGAGGATGGCTTGAACCCAGGAGTTCAACCCCATCGCTAAAAAAGAAAAGAAAAGAGGGGAGAGGAGGGGAGGGGAGGAGAGGGGAGGAGAGGGGAGGAGAGGAGAGGAGAGGAGAGGAGAGGAGAGACATTCCTTGAAGCATGCTGGTCTCACATCTCACAAGGCGTTAGGGATATCTACGACTTTTACCTACACTCCAAATGACGTGTGCTTCTGGCTGGGAAGTTAAAGAAAGGCAGGATGGGCCTGACAGCAGATGCCAATAATGCACACTTCAGGAAATTTGTAGCCTCAAATATTTATGTTAGTAAAGAAGAAAGACCGAAAAATAATGAATTATGGGCCCAAGTTAAGAAGTTTTAGAAAAGAGAGAGAAGTTCAAGAGAATAAACTAAAAGAAAGTAGAAGTAAAAAGGTAAAGGTAAGGGTAGAAATCTATGAATCAGAGAGGACTTATGAAGCCTCTGAGACAACTGGAGCAAGAAGAGAGAAGGTGCAAATAAACTACATTGCGAATGACAAAAACATAAGTATAGATCCAGGAGATGACAGAAGAATAAAAGAATCCTATAAAGAACTTTATATCTATTAAT